GAAAGATGTCTAGGTCATCAAACCAGTAGCCCAAGGCTACTTAGACCTAGTCTCAAACAAACAAACAAACAAAAAAACAACAACAAATATGAAGGGCAGCCTGGTTTACAAAGATACTGCTCCACCCACCCCTAACCCCAATAAAGAGGAAAGGAAGGAATATGAATTAACAAATGCTGGTGCCCAGTAGAGTCACTAAATAAGAGCTGAGAATGTAGCTAAATTTGTACAATGCTTGCCTAAAATGCAAATAAACCCTGAATTACCATGCCCAGCACTGCATAAACCGGGTACACACCTACAATTCCAACACTTGGGAGAAGGCAGGAGGAGGGCCAAAAGTTCAACCTCATCCTCCCCAGTAATTCAAGATCAACCTACAAAAGATCTGATCTCAAAGACCCGGGTTCAGTTCCCAGCACCCACATGGTAGCTCACAACCACCCATAACTACAAGTTCCAAGGAATCCAACCTCCTCTTCTGATCTCCACAGACACCAGGCAGACATGTGGCAAACATATACAAATATGCAACAAAATATTCATACACTGTTTTGTTTTTTCAAGACAGTGTTTCTCTGTGTAGCCTTGACTGTCCTGGAACTCACTCTGTAGAACAGGCAGGCCTTGTACACAGATATCCGCCTGCCTCTGCCACCCAAGTGTTGGGATTAAAGGAATGGGCAACCACTGCAAGGCAAATGTGTATCTCAGGCTAGCCTGGAGCTCATGATCCTCCTGCCTCTACCTCCTTCAGCAAATCCTATTGGCATTAATCACAATCAGATTTTTTTTTTCAAAAATGATCATAAACTGGGGGCTGGAGAGATGGCTCAGTGGTTAAGAGCATTGCCTGCTCTTCCAAAGGTCCTGAGTTCAATTCCCAGCAACCACATGGTGGCTCACAACCAACTGTAATGAGGTCTGGTGCCCTCTTCTGGCCTGCAGGCATATACACAGACAGAATATTGTATACATAATAAATAAATATTTTTTTAAAAAGATCATAAACTAACAGCTAATAACATAAATAAGAAGATTAATTTAAGAAAAATTCCCGGGGGCTGGAGAGAGGGCTCAGCGGTTAAGAGCATTGCCTGCTCTTCCAAAGGTCCTGAGTTCAAGTCCCAGCAACATGGTGGCTCACAACCATCTGGAATGAGGTCTGGTGCCCTCTTCTGGCCTACAGACATACACACAGACAGAATATTGTATACATAATAAATAAATAAATATTAAAAAAAAAAGAAAAATTCCCAAAGTTTTTAAACAGTTCCTTCAGAAATCATGGATCTGCATCTGTAGTATATATTACAGGCTCCAAAATATTACATATAGTCCAGTAAAAGCTCAAATAAAACTCAAACACAAGGGCTGAAGTAGTTAAGAGCACTTGCTGCTCTTGTAAGTCTATTTCCTATGTGGACCAGGCTAGCCTCAAACTCAAAAGATCCACTTGTCCTCGTCTCACTAGTGCTGGGATTAAAGGTACCAACCCTGGCATTTATTGCTATAGCTGAGGACCCGAGTTCAGTTCCCAGCACCTACATGGTGGCTAACAACGGTCCCCACCTCTAGCTCCAGTGGATCCAAAGCCTTCTTCTGGCCTCTGGGCATCAGACAAGCATGCAGGATACTTACAAACATGCACACAAAATACTCCTACATATAAAAATGTTTTAAAAACGCAAAAAGAAATAACCAAGAGGGATTGGATGGATGGCTCAGGAATTAACAGCACTGTTTGCTCCTGTGGAAAACCCAGGTTGGTTCCCAGACCCACAAGATGGCTCACAGCTGTTGCTAACTCCAGTTCCAGAAAATACAGGGCCCTCGTCTGGTCTCTGTGGACACTGGGCATTCATGCAGTGTACTTAGCATACAAGCAAACAAAAGTCATCCATATGAAATTTTTAAAAAGATCTTTAAAATACAGAAACTAGGAAGAATACACAGGAAACCACCTGCTTGTACATGACCCTGACACAGAAGGCTATGTCCCCTGACCCCAAAAGCAGCTGACAACTACAAAGAAACATTTCCACAGTAGACCTGACTCCTTGGCTCTGGAGCCCACTAAGCCATCTGAGAAATAACTCGGCACAACCTGTGAGAGCAGTAAAATCTTAGAGTCCTTGACCTAGTGAAACCACTTCTTGGCACTTTCTCTAGGTAAAAATAAAACTGAAACAAAAAGATTCCAGTATGAAGATTTTACTGTACCACCTCTACCAAAAAAAAAAAAAAAAAAAAAGATTATGAAGACTAAACTCCCAAAAGTTAGGTAGAAACTTAGCTTAGTAGGTAAGTTACTATTTAAGAATTTTTAAGAATCCACCAGGTTAAGGGGGAACAAGGTTGGTCACACATAAGCACAGCCTCACAAGGAAAAGGTCAAAGTCTAGAACAAGCAGTGGATTGAGGTGCAACTGTGTGGTAAGATTTTTAAAAAGTGATCACACACTTCTTTTCTAAGGAAAAAGTTCTCAATTCTTTTCACACAAAACCCAAATCTGATTCAGGCTGGCTGAGTAGCTAAGTCCTAGTCCAGCAAAAGCAAGGCCCTGGGTTAGAGTTCCAGGCTGTGGAAGGTCCAGAAATAAAATGGTGCTTCAAGAGCAGTCAACTTCTAGGCTGGGAAGAATATTTTGCTACCATAAACATAACATTATCAATGCCACTTTTTCTTGTTAATTCTTCTAAGTTTATTTATTGTGGGGGAGGGGGAAAATGCCCCTGGCAGGTGTGTGGAGGTCAGAGGACAACTGGCAGTAGTCAGTTGCTTGCTGCAACCATGGTGGTGGGGTGGGACTCCTGGTTGACAGGCCTAGCAGCTAGCACCTTTACCCACTGACCCATCTCAGCGGCCCCCAATGCTACATCCCCCCCCCCTTCCTCAGCCACGTTGACAGTCTTATTTTTAGTGACACATACAAACCCAAGCAAAATTCTAGAGGTTGTAATGGATTTACAAAGAACCCAGAGAAGACTGAGAACTTAAAAGCTATTCTACCAGTGTTAACATTAACCAAGGCTCTGTACAGAACAAAATTGCATATTCTGAGTCTGGTATTGGACTAAAAACTTCGTCAAAAGAGTGAGTGCTAACATGTATACTTCAAGTGACAGAACTCAAAGCAAGGAAAACTCTAAATGCCTTTAACTTTTGAGGACCCTCAGGAGCAGAAAGATGACTGGTACTCTTGCCTTGCTCATCGGAGATGCTCACCTAACTGTAGAATAATTCCACTACAACCTAATCTTTATGCCTAAGGAGATAGTGAAGTTTAGAAACTTTAGTTTTACTTGGTATTTGAACAAGTTAAATACATCTGACACTCTCTGATAACTAAAGGGAAAACATGGAAAAGCAAAGAAAATGGGATGCATTCATAAATTTAAATATTTTTCTTTTTTTCACTAAAAGTCAAGGACAAAACAAAAGAAACTCAAATTATAAAACCTTAACTTCACTGAGTTGGGGGAAAAATGGTTTAATTTGAACTAAACAGGCTAAGGAGGGTTTGAAATGTCTCATGCTAAGGAAAATTGGAAGTGTGGGGGAATAAAGTAAAAAACAGACTGTTGCCAGCAGGATCCCTTAAAAACCTGCTCTGATTCACCCAACGGCTTAACTTCTACTGCAAAGGAAAACTCTCTAGAAATGGACGACTGGAAACTGCGGCTAAAAAGAAAACTCAGTACATGAAAAATCCCCATAGCCCACCTCCTAAGTTCTGGATGTCTATTTAAGGAGGAGGCTAGTCAAGGCTCTGCCAACCAGGCCTAGGCCAGAGGGAGGCACAGCAGTGCCTGTAACACGGATGGACTCGGGGCACAGGGGAAATGGACTTGCATGCCCTTGGTAAGCTCTGGCGGCGCTTCCCAAGTTAAGGACACCGGCCACAATGGAATGGAGTCTATTGGCATTTGCCTCCCCGTTTTAACACTAAGCGTTTTCTTAGTTCGTGAAATACGAACTGACAATCACCTCCACCCCTCCCCACCCCCGCGCGCGCACACCCTCCAGAGTCAAGCCCAGTCACACAGGACAGCACCCGGCTTCCAGCTTCTACCAACAAAACCGGGCCCAAGGGAGAGGAGAGAGAAGGGGGGCGCGGGCGCAAGCCAACACCCGCGATGTTGCCATCAGAACCCGCACCAAAAAACTCCTCTGCTGCGGTTCCTCATCTCTAGAAATTTCAGGAATTGGGACGGGGGCTGCGGGGAAAATGCGCTGCGTGTCCGATGCCCGCCGCCAACCCACCTCGCGAGTCCGGCCCTCGCCCACCTCTATTCAAAGACGCCTTCTGCTCGGCGGACGAGGAACAGCAATGCGGATCGGCCACCACCCGCGCGCAGGGGACCTTGCGGGGAAGGAGGGAGGCCGGCCCGAAGGGAGCCGGGCACTCCCACCCCTTCCCCAGCTGGGGGAGGGCAGCCCGCCGCGGGAACCCTGCCGCCCCAGATCTAAAAGGGGGGGGGGGGTGCGGGAGGCCGCTAAACACCCACCTCGCCTCGGATGACCACCGTCCTAGGGGCTGCGGGGCGGGAGTTAGATATGCAGGACAACCGGCTGACCCTACTTGGGGCGGCCGGGCCTCAACTTTCCCTCCTCCCTCCATGCTCCCCAACCTGGCAAAGTGGCTCAGTTCAAGACAGGGACCCCTGCGACGTGCACCCAGGCCCAGCCGCCCTTCCACCACGGGTAGGGGACGCTGCAAGGGGGTGGGGCGGGGATGCCAATCGCCTCTCGCACACACACGAGGGGCAGAGGGCCGCCCCGGCCGTCCATCTTGACCGTCTGGGGGAGGGGACGGGATGGTGCAGGAGGCTGGACACGGCCTGTGAAGCCCTTAGAATCGTCCGGCGCCTCCCGCCCCTCCGCGGGCCCCCAGCCCACCGCGATGCGGGCAGGTCACGGGGCGAGGCGGGGGAGGGGACGAGCGGCGAGGGATCGGCCCAGCGGGAGCGGAGGGGGCTGGGGAGCCGACACCCACCTGCCCAGACCGGGGCGCCCGACGCCCGCGGCCGCCGAGGAAGACGCCACCGGCGCAGCCGGGGCCGGCACCGCGGAAGACGAAGACGACGCGGCCGAGGCCGGCGCGGCGCCGGGCGACGAGAGCAGGCCACCGCCGGGCTTGCGGCCACTGGCGGGCGCGGGCGGCTGCGGCTTCAGCGACATGGTGAGCGGCCCATACACCGGCTCGCACGCCGGGCGGGGACAGCCGGGAGCCGGGCGCGCTGAAGAGACGCCGGAGCGCGGCGGGGACGCGCGGACGCCAAGCGGGCAGGCGCGGGCTGGCGCGGTCGCGGGAGCCAGGGGCAGCAGGACAACGACGAAGGGGCGGGGAGGCCCGCAGACACCGAACAGCCGCCGGGAGCCGGGCCGGGACACGCCGTTGCCGTTGCTACCAAAACAGTCTGAGGCGCAGGGCGGCGAGCGCGGCCCGCGGGGAGGGGCGCCGGGGCCGCGCGGGGGAGGGCCGGCGGAGGGATACGTCTCTGCGCCGCCCCGCCCGCCGCGCCGCGCAGTCCGCGGGAGCGAGCGCCGCGCGGCCCAGCCCGGCAGGCGGCGCGGCTCCGGTCCCGGCGCGGGCCGCTGAGCGGCGGCGGTCGACGGGCGCATGGGAACCCGGCTCGCGGGCGGGGCGCGCACGGGGCGACGCGGCCGGGAGGGCGCGGAGATGCGAAACGGTGCTGGGGGTGGGGGACTCTTTACCGGAAGTCGGAAGGGTCAGGCGGAAGTCGAACGTGAGATGGCTTGGGGGGCCGGCCGGGACACGTGAGGAGCGGTAGCAGCGCTGGGCCGCGTTCGCTCTCGGGGGTCGGGCGAGGGCCGTGGGGATCCGCCCTCGCTGAGGCGGGTCTGCCCTTCGGGGAGGGAGTGCTGATCTTCGCCTGCGGGGCGCCCGGAGCTGCTCCGCTGCCTACAGCCTAGGGGATGGCCCTCGGGCGCCTTCGGGGCGGAGACCCGCGGTTTCTTCCGCAAACCCCGGGCCTGGCACACAGTAGACCCCCAGGTGCCACTGCGTGTTTGGTTTCCCTGCCAGCATGGGAAGCTTGCCACCAGTGAAGCCACCGCCAGCTGCTTCACTTTGCCCCATTTTATCCACCCCAGCTAACTGTTGGGTATCTGACCTTCATTTGAACCCGTTTTCCCTCACCCGAACTTTATATTCCTCCTTCGGGAGACTCGAAAGGAAATGGACGTGATTGGTAGAGCTGGATAATGGGGTCTTGCCATGGATAATGGGGTCTCCCTCAGTGGAGACAAAACAGACCTTACTAAAATGTGAACTTTAGACCTTGACCCTTTTAGAAGTTTTACTTTAACTCGGAGAGGCCGCCAAACACTGTAGTCCGTTTTTTAACATGTTGTAATTCAATTGGAAGCAAGTAAGTAACTTTTTTTTTGCAATGAGTTTAAGTTTTTTTGTTTTTCTTTTTTAAGTGAAATTGCTTAAGAAAATGATGGGCCGCAGAACAGCAAAGTCCCCCTCATTCTACTAAGATCATCCACATAAAGTCAGGCATGGTGTTCATACCTGTAACACGAGCACTTGGGAAGTGGAGGCTGGATTAGAACTTCAAGGTCATCTTCACCTTCCGAAGGAAATTCTAGGCGAGACTAAAATACAAGAGACCCAGTCTTTTTTTTTTTTTTTTTTTTTGGTTTTTCGAGACAGGGTTTCTCTGTGGTTTTGGAGCCTGTCCTGGAACTAGCTCTTGTAGACCAGGCTGGTCTCGAACTCACAGAGATCCGTCTGCCTCTGCCTCCCAAGTACTGGGATTAAAGGCGTGCGCCACCACCGCCCGGCTTTTTTTGGTTTTTCGAGACAGGGTTTCTCTGTAGCTTTAGAGCCTGCACTGGAACTAGCTCTTGTAGACTAGGCTGGCCCCGAACCCACAGAGATCCTCCTGCCTCTGTTTCCAGAGTGCTGGGATTAAAGGCGTGCACCACCACGGCCCTGCTTGTTGAAGAGACCCAGTCTTAAGTAGTGACCCCTGGTTATGGCACAATTCTTTAATCCTAGCACTCAAGGCAAGTGGATCTCTCAGTTCAAGACTAGCTTAGTCTACACAGATTAAAATTTGGAACATATTAAAGAGTCACTAGTAGTCCAATTGAAAATAATTTAATCTCCTGGCTGACATGTAGTGGCCCAGGACCTTAATCCCAGTCCTTGGGAGGCAGAAGCAGGTGAATCTCTTGGATCTCTGAGTTCCAGGCCAGCCTGGCCTACAGAGTGAATTCCAGGACAGAAGGGGCTACAAAAAGATACCTTTTATAAAACAAAACAAAACAAAAAAACCTTAACCGGAAGAAGCTTTGCTTGGATGCAAAGCCTTGAATCTTACTGCTTGGGAGGTAAAGGTCAACCCTCACTACAGAGCATATTCAGTGTAGTCTACGGTTAATGTGAGACATTGTTTCCAAAAAGAAACCAAAAATAACAAATCTAAGATTTAAAATAGTACCTGATTCCTAAATTGAAAATGAATTAGTAAAATATATACAAATATCAGTAATTTCATGTTAAAAATTTTTTAAACATTTTATTTTATGTGCATTGGTATTTGGCCTGCACATATGCCTGTGTAAGGGAGTCAGACCCACTGGACCTGGAGTTATGGACAGTTGTGAGCTATGGTGTGGGTGCTGGAAATTGAACCCCAGTCCTCCGAAGGAGCAACCAGTGCTCTTAAGTCATCTCTCCAGCCCTGTTTTTTTGTTTGTTTTTTTATACTCCGTTTAACTCTGTGTTGTGTGCATCTGTTTGTGTTAGCATATGTATGTATGACATCTGGAGACCAGAAGAGGGCATCAGATCCCCAGACCTGGAATTGATGTTCGTAAGCCACCATGTGGGTGCTTGGAATTGAATCTGAGTCCTCTAGAAAAACAAGCAGTGCTCTAGCTTAGCTGAGTGAGCGCTCCAAACACAAGATATGCTTTAAATTAACCTAAAGGATATCAAAACTGAAAAAAAGCAAATGACTAAGAAAAAAGGCCCCATACTAAGAGCATCTTCATTCAGAACTGGAGCCAAGCTCTCCGAATTCAATGGAAAGGGCCGGGCGGTGGTGGCGCACGCCTTTAATCCCAGCACTCGGGAGGCAGAGGCAGGCGGATCTCTGTGAGTTCGAGACCAGCCTGGTCTACAAGAGCTAGTTCCAGGACAGGCTCCAAAACCACAGAGAAACCCTGTCTCGAAAAATCAAAAAAAAAAAAAAAAAAAAAAAAGAATTCAATGGGAAGGTCAAGTTCCAAGCACACTTTGAAGGAAAGAGAATTTGAACAAGAGTGCCTGAACTTGGTAGCTACATATGACTTCATTTACGCTAAGTAAATGGGTTTGGATTTTATTTTTTTTTTCAAAACATTTATTTACTTTATTATGTATACAATAGTCTGTCTGTGTGTATACCTGCAGTCCAGAAGAGGGCACCAGACCTCATTACAGATGGTTGTGAGCCACCATGTGGTTGCTGGGAATTGAACTCAGGACCTTTGGAAGAGCAGTAAGTGCTCTTAACCACTGAGCCATCTCTCCAGCCCTGGGTTTGGATTTTAAATAACATTTATGTATTTACTTATTTTGTATATATGTATGTGTGTGGGATCAAACAGTTTAGACTCAGTGACAAGCACTTTTACCCTCTAATCTATCTGGCTGACCTGGTTTTAGGTGTTTGTATCTGAGACAGGGTCTCACTCTGTAGCCCTGGTTGTCCTGGAACTTGCAGAGATCCCCCTACTTCTGTTCCCCAGGTTCTGAGGTCAGTGTACCATTATGAGTGGTGTATAGTTGCTTTTGCTTTATAGGAAGACCTGACAAGAACTATGAAATGGGCATTGCTGTGGAGCTGCTCTTGGAGCTGGAGACTTCTGAGCACATCTTTGGCATCTGAGAGACTTTATAGCCTGAAACCCTGAGGCTGAGCTCAGGGTGTGGCTTAGTGCTATAAAGTGTGCTTAGCATTTGAGGCCTGGGGTTCAATCCTTAGCACTGAAAAATAATGAAGAGTGTCAGGATAATGCCCTTTCAGAGCAGTGATCTGGGAAGCCGTTTCTACAGTGGCTCAGAATGACCTTTGTCCTAGTGTCTGACCTTATGAAAATCTGCCCACTGGAATATAAGCTATGCCTCATGACTCCTTCCTAAGTAAAAACTGGGGAAAGAAACTAAGGCATTTCACTTAAAAGATTAGGTCACAATAAGACCTTTATTTCAGCTGAACCGAGCTACTCGAAAGATCTTGCTCAAAAAACAAAAACAGTAGGGCATAATCATGTGTGCCTTTAATCCTGGCACTCTAGCAGCAGAGGCAGGTCTAGTATACATAGCAGGTTCAAACCACCAACCTTATTTCCAAAAGGAGAAAAGGTAAAATAAATAAATAGATAGATGATAGATAGATAGATAGATAGATAGATAGGGATGTAGTCGAGTTGGCAAAGTGCTTGCCTACTGTGCTTGAAGGCCTGAGTTCAGTCCTCAGCACTGCATAAACAAGGAATGGTAGGAATACCTGTAATCCCAGCACTTGGAAGAAGTTCAAGGGCATCTTCAGCTACATTGCAAGTATTTTTTGTTTGGTTGGTGTGGTGATATTTTGTGCTCTTACAAATAAAGCTTGCCTGGAGATCAGAGGGCAGAGCTAGCCACTAGTTAACCATAGAGACCAGGCATTGGTGGCACACACCTTTAATTCCATCACTTGGGAGGAGGAATCAGGAAGGTCAGGAGTTCAAGGTCACCCTGGGTTACAGAGAAGCTCCATCTAAAAGAGAAACAGAGCCAGACAGAGTTGTTGAGGTAAGAACTATCTAGAAGCTTGCTGCTCTGCTTCTCTGATATTGGCCTGACCATAGAAGAGAGAATCTATTGCAGTCATGTCCACTGTGATTGCAGCTATAGCTGCTTATGGTTTCGGTTCAGGGTTCAAATCAGACTCCGACAATGAGGACAGCTGGTGTCTGCTGCTATCTGCTGACTCTTTCACGCATTCAGCCAAGCCTTCTCTGATAGTGGTGGTGGACTTGGCTCCAGAGGTAGCATTTAAGGAAGATTTGGAAACTGGAATTTTCCTGCTTTCTGGATATGCAGAGCCAGCACATATCAGTGACTTCATGTTTGAACAGCAAACTGGTCAGAAGAAAACTATAAGAGAAAAAAGTTCAAAGAAAATAATGTATCTAATATTAATGGTTTCTTGGGACTATGGACAGAATATATGTATGAAAAAGATGTCACCAAACCTTCAGAGGAAGAACAAAAGGAGTTGGATGAAATCACAGCAAAGAGGCAGAGAAAAAGGCAAATAGGAAGAGAAGAGACCGGGAAAGAAGACAATCTTACACGTTGAAGAAATGTATGACTATCAAGGCAGGTCCTACCTTCACATACCTAAGGATGTTGGTGTTAATGTTAATCTACGGTCATCTGTGCCACCTGAAACAAATTCCCAAAAAACAAATTCATGTGTGGTCTGGACACACAGAGGGTGTCAGTGTGGTCAGGCTGTTTCTTCTTTCTGGACATTTGTTGCTCTCTTGGTCCATGGACTGTAAAACTAAGCTATGGAAAGTTTATGGAGACTGGCGCTGTCTAACATTGGTCACAGT